AAACTCCAGAACTATGTGATAATCATTTCTCTCATGGTAATTTGCTAAGGCACCCTTACACCACTAACAAAAAGAGCAATTGTGTATGTGATCGCAATGGTGTCATCCTTGAAGAGAGGGACATGGGAGAAACTCAGGTCACCTAGGAGAATTTTGTATTTACAAATCTGAGGTAGTGTTAAAATGCCCAAAGTTACCTCGGTCTTGCATAAAGACTCAGCAACCGACAGCTATTATTATCATTGTTTGCTTGGGGGTCGCATTTTGCAAACTCATCTCGTTTTCCTGGAATCTCCAGGTAGCAGGTTCGTATAAGGTCTGCTGACAGCACAGCAAGGCTTAGCTCGTTCCCCGCGGCGCCTCCGCTTGAACGTAAAAGGTCCTGGTACAAAATTCTATTTGTATTTCTTCATCTCAGGCCGATTCCAAGTTCATACCCCTCTGAAAGTCTACATCAAACCTCTTCAGGGATATCTAAAGGCAGGCACAACCCCTCCCAGGATTCGGTTTGTAGAGGAAGTCCGCCATCTTGTGGACACTCCCGGTTCCAACAGCCTAACCTTAAGTTCCAAAGTCAAGAAGAGTAGACTTAGTTTTAATCGCCTTTCTTCCCTGTCCTTTATCTTATTAGAGCCAGAGGACAAGGCCATGGGTGGGACATCCTCCTCGTCTTCAAAGCATAAGAGGTTATCAAAGTGGTGTCAATCAGATCCTGAGGAGTGCCCTCTTCAGCCCTTGAAGAAATGAGACCACACCTGCAGTTGACCCCTTAAGCCTCCCCAGGTCATGGAGGGAGCGAAAGCCGTATTTCCTGAAAATCTTTACTATGTATCTCAAAACCTTGTAGGACAGCGGTTCTCAACCTCTGGATTGTGACTCCTTCAGGGTTGAACGGTCCTTTCATAGGTCACCTATGACCATCAGAGAACACAGATATTTCCATTATAGTCCATAGCAGTAGCAAAATTAGTTTTGAAGTAGCAATGAAAATAATTTTATGGTTGGAGGTCACCACAACGTAAGGAACTGGATTAAGGGGTCACAGCATTACACTGCTCCAGAGAAACCCCTTATTTCAGGAATGTCATCTGCTGTGTCCCACAGGTTGAAAAACCCTGGTCTAAAGAATTAAACAGAAGGGAAAACCTGTCCAAGCAGTTTACAGAAATCTAGTTAAAAGGAAAGGGTGACAGTCAAGCACCCAAGTGCTGGATCTGAGGTGACAAAGACTCTTTAAAATAAAAAAGGAGGTTGAAGCACTGTCACGAAGGGTAGCCTGCACAACAGCAAAAGGCTGACACAAGTGAGCAGAGAGCTAGACTACTTCCAGGCCTTTCCTTCTAAAAGATGCGTGAGCAAATGAGTGCTGGAAATGCTGGCTTTGCTGGTGGGAGAGAAATGTAAATACAAACACATAATATGTAAATACCTTTTATGGTTAGAGGGCATGGAGATAAAGGAGGCTAGCTGCTGGGAAGCTGTGCACTGTCACTCACTTCAGAAACTGTCACAATGCTCTCCTGGCTCTGAAAGTGCAGGCACTTTGGAAAGAAGCAGAAAAACAGAAACCTGGAAGGCTGGTCAGGCGTAGTGGTGTACACCTTTAATCCCAGCACTGGAGGCTGGCAGATCTCTGTGGGTTCAAGGTCACTCTGTTTTACATAGTGAGCTTCCGGACAGCCAGATCGATGTAGAGAGACCCAGTCTCAAAAAGGAAAGAGAGAGAAAGGAAGACAGACACACAGAAAGAAAGAAAGAAAGAAAAAGAAAGGAAGGAAGGAAGGAAGGAAGGAAGGAAGGAAGGAAGGAAGAAAATTTAAGAAAACCTCTCTCCCTCTCTCTCAGACACACACACACACACACACACACACACTCACACACCTCTTTTTTCTCTTTCTTTCTTTCTATTCTTCACTTCCGTTTCTGGTTTGTGCTTGGTTTTTGTTTTGTTTTTGTTGTTGTTGTTTTGTTTTTTCCATTTGCTTTTTTTTAGTGTGAGAAAGCACAGCCTTAGCCAAGGGGAAACAGGCTTTGGAGCTACA